GAAAGCACAAAGTGACACAAATTCACTCTGGCGTGCTACTTTAACCTCCTCGGCGGTATGATTCTTTCCGATTATTTTGTGCTGAAAGCGGTACCATTTTTTTGCATGGAAATATGTAGTTTTTTATTGTAGACTGTAATTTTTAGGAATAACTCACTGAAATCTGTACGAACAAGAGTCTAGTAAACATCCCGGATAGGATAAAACTTGAAACACGAAATCATAAATTATAATTTAATAAATAATCATAAAAAATAATAATATAATAATAATACATTTAATTCAATAATATAATCAAACCAAAAACACTGAAATTTGAAATACAGAGGCAAATTCGCACATCGCTGAGCAAAGTCGCAAAATCGTTTTCAGTGTCTGATGACGAATTTCCCCACGAATCATTATCACTCAATTCTGCAAGTAGTTCTGATTTACTATCGCTGTTCTAAAACCGCTTTTGACGTAGAGGGATGCTTTTTGGACGCCATGGACTTTTCTAAGTTTCCAGGCAGAAAGAACAGTCAAAATGCAGGCAGGGCACAGGACAAAGCAGTAGGGACATAATATATGTGAAATGCATTGAAACAGCCATGACAGCAAAAATGACATTTTTAAAAAATTTCAAATTTCCCGCCGGTTCCGGTGCCCGTACATCCCGACGTCACAGGGACCGGAACACGGAAGCCGGATGCTGGCATCGGCCGGTGGAGATGGCCGAGGATGCTGCAGGGGACACATCGCGGGAGCGAAGGACAAGGTAAGTGCTGCAGGTACCCCCTGAGCAACGCCGCATGGTAAGCCCGAGTGTAGCTCAGGGTTACCGCTCTTGGTATTGAAATTTTACCCCGAGCTACACTCAGGAAAACCGCTAAGGAGGTTAATTCCAGATACAAGTTCACAGTGCTGCATACCTTTCTTAATCAGTATGTGAATTATGGCTAACCAGTGCAACAGGAGGCACTGAAACACTGTATATAATTTTATTAGGCACTTTACACAGGACAGGATTAAATCTACACACAGATATTTAATGTAAGTAGGCTTCTACATTAAAGTAGAGTAGAACAGTGACTGACTTAATGTCCAGAGCTACAATGATGGCATGTGTGGCCAAAGCAAAGCAAGGCCCAATGAGGTTGGTAAGTGAGAAAAAAATTTGAAATAGGCAGAAAGAAGCACTCTTTTGAGACCTTATATTTCTCCATGTTACAGCATAGGCAGTTATACTGCAACAAAACACTATCAAGAATTATTCTTCTATCCTTGCTGCTAGGGCTTCCGCCCACACTAAGTATATAGTAGTGGTGTTGAATTATGCAAATATGAATGAAAACAAAAGGATTCAGTGCTCTCTGTTTTCTTTTGTGTGAAGAATTCTAGAGGTATAAGGGTCCCTTAAAATTGTCTATAATTTGAGTACAGCTGGGATAGTAATGAATTACAAGCATTTATTTGGTTGATGTTGGGAGCACCTCCAATTTCCTTTTGCTACTAGTTTTTTTCATATATATCTCTCAGTATGCTTCAGAGACTTTTCATAACATATCATATTCATGTTTTATGCACATATATATGCATTATGTACATCTGATAAGCCAGGGAGATAATACAGCTATTTTATTTTATTCATGCTGGGAAAAATGTAATGTGGTGTGAATGTTAATCTAAAAACAGTTTTACCTAAATTACCTACTTTCAAAAAGTAAATATAATTCTCAAGCTTATGATATGTATGTTCTGTTATTATTTCTACCACTGACAGCTAAAATATTTCTTAGCAATAACTAGGCACCTGGTAATACAGCAGTAGATGAGTTTAATTAAATAACATGTAAGTAACACTCTTTTTCCTAAAAACACAGTGCTCACTTCTCTTAAAATGCCAATCTTGTGCTAAATAGCATGCAATAAAAAGTCTATTGCTTAACAGAATCTGTTCTTTTTACACTGTTATCTATCTTACAAGCTCTAAAATGCTGGCAGCTGTATCTGTTCTGGTTGGTATTAAGCCCAGGTCCTATAAAAGTTGTCAGATGGTGATTCAAAAATACAGAGACACCTCTCTAAAATAAATTGCAATGTAAGCTCTGTAAATTGAACTAATAGGCTGACAACATTATGAATAATAGTACGCTATGCAAAAAGCTAAGTGTAAGCTAGCATGTGTATGTGTTTCTGACTAAATTTACGAACTGATCAGATTTCTAGAGTAAAATTCAGAAAATGGAAGGTTAATTTATTCTTAGAACACTGACTCGCAAAATACAACATTACAATGTCTGCATTGCATGGTAGTATAACACATAATTTAAAAAAACAATAGCACCTACATTTAAAAAGAACTATAATGTATCCAAAACATTGAACTAATAAGGAATATGCCATCAGAGCAGATTTTATAATAAATGGTGCACAGGTTTAACTCAATTTTAATTGAGTGTTCAACTTTTTTTTGTTTTTCTTTGTGAGATTTCTTTTTTATCATCTAGTTTGATATCACCATTGCTATCCATGATTTTGTGAGACACAGGTATGTTGCATCTTCCTTCTGTTGTTTGCAGTTCTGTCCCCACTCCTCTGACCTCCCAGAATGGGATTTTACTCCCAAACCGTATATATTTGTACTAGGAATCCAACACTAGCATCTTTGGTGTAGGAAGGTGAATTTTCAGATTTAAAAGGTTAGTGTAAGAGCTGGCTTTACAGGTAGGGTAGTGTGAGGCTTAGTGTTACTGGGTAGATTTGTATGGGGCCTTAGGCCAACAGGAAAAATTAAGTCCCCTTGCCATGAAAGGTGAGTAGTCCCCAGTACTTAACTGCAAAATAAAATAAATGCATCTACACAGTTTTTGGAGTTATGGAGACACCGGGCAAATTAACAAAATCATTACCTAATATGGTGCTGGACTGCCTTTGGCATCCAAGATGGCCTGAATTCTCCTGGGAATTGACAAATAGAAGTCTTGGATGGTAGATAATGGAATTTAATACCACTCTTCATGGAAAAATCATTCCAGTTCTCACAGAGATGCTAGAGGTGGAAAATTGGCCAGTAGAAAATATTGTTCTCCAAAATTGACTATGGTGACTCTATGATATTGAGGTAAGATATCTGAGGTGCCCAGGAAAGGTGCGAGACTTTGTTTGCATGCTCGTCAAACCATTATTTGACTACACCAGCTGTGTGAATCAGAGCATTATCATCTTGGTCTTCGGAAAACAATGTCTGCATCATGGGGTGCACATGTTTGGCCAAAATTTGTACATAGTCACTGGCAGTGGCTCTTCCTTTCAAGGTGATGATGGGGCCTACAGAATACCAAGATATGGCTGCCAAAACCATTATTGTTGGTTGAAAAAAAAAGACATAAGTTCATCTAGTTCAACCAATAAGAATAAATAAACAAATAGAAAGCCACCTTACACACAATCCTATACTCACAGTTGATCCAGAGGAAGGCATAAAAGTCCGATTAAGCATAATGCCATTTGCTCCAGTGGGGGAAAAAAATTCCTTCCTGATCCTTCTAGGAGACAATTGGTAATTCCCTGGATACAAAATCTCTGGTGGTATTACCTATAAATGGTAATATCACATTATTTTTTGTGCATTTAGGAATGCATCCAGCTCTGCATGTAACCATTTACTGAGCTGACAAGAACTAGTTCTTGAGGGAGTCAATTTCTCATTTTCACAGTTCTTACAGTGAGGAAGCATTGCCATATTTGAAGGTTAAATCTCTTTTCAACCAGATATAAAGAGTGCCCCTTGTCCTCTTTATTGACCTGAAAGTGAATAACTCTATAGCATATACACTATATATACACTATATGGACCACTTATGTATTTATACATGGTGATCATATCCCCCCTTAACTGCCTTATCTCAAGGGAAAATACACACACAGAGGTATGTAGGTGTCTTATCTATTCTTAATTCTTTTGGATAAGGGCAGTGTGTTTTGTATGCTTGCAAGGTATACAGTACAAATTGAAAGACTGGTGGCAAAGTCTCCCCCATTGGCAATTTGGCAAATGAGTAGGCAGCCTGGCCTTGTGTGATCATCAGATATTAATAGAGTGTACCATTTGTGTATGTTCTCAGAGACAAACATTTCAACAGTTTTTAGCAAGTGTTATCTTTGTGGACAAGTCTACAAAAATCATGCTAGAACATAATCCATAAATAGGTCCACTTCATTTGACTTGGCAACAGAGATAATATTAAAAAGTCAACATTTCGGCAGGACACAGCGCGCCTTTCTCGAGACAAACAGACATGACAGGCAAAAACACTAACAGTTTGGCCTAATAAACAGAATACCATTTTTTTCCTCTGAGTGTAAAACATTAGCTTTGCAGTTGCATTGTGGTGACTTCTGCAATCTTAAATACAATTGCACAATTTCACAGGTATATTTTCTATAAGGGAAAATGGAAATATTGTAAGCTTTTCAACCAAGCAAGCTGAACCTTTTATTATTAACAGTCTGAATAAAACACTGGAACTGTGATAACTAGTGTGAGTCACAGTAATGCAAAATGAACCTGCAGTTTTAAAGAGAGACGTCGTTATGAGCTTTCCCGTTCATAGTTTGTAATTAATCTTGAACTGTAAAACGTTCCACCTTACAGCAGTAGCTACATTCGCCTTTTCTTCCTCTTAGCCTACAATACATAAAATGGCAGCCCACTCCTGTATGTTTGGGTCTATTACTGTATATGGAGGAGAACCCATTTACTTCACCCCTAACCACTTGCCTACTGGGAACTTTCACCTCTTTCCTGCCCAGGCCAATTTTCAGCTCTGTCGCACTTTGTATGACAATTGCCTGGTCATGCAACACTGTACTCGTATATGAACTTTGTATTATTTTTTTGAAACAGATAGAGATTTCTTTTGGTGTTATTTAATCGCCAATGGGTTTATTATTTTTTGTTAAACAAACCAAAAACAACTGAAAATTTTGAAAAAAAAAAATTTTTTTCTTAGTTTCTGTTATAAAAATTTTGCAAATAAGTAATTTTTCTCCTTCACTGATGTGCGCTAATGAGGCTGCACTGATGGGCACTGATAGGCTGCACTGATGGGCACTGATGAGGCACTGGTAGATGGCACTGATAGGCATTGACAGGCATCACTGATGGGCACTGAAAGGCAACACTCATATATGGCACTGATAGGCAGCACTGACTGGCACTAATAGGTGGCACTGACTGGAACTGTTAGGCGGCACTGATGGGCACTGATAGGGGGCACTGACGGGCACTGACAGGCGGAACTGAATGCCACTGATTGGCAGCACTGATGGGTGGCACTGACTGGCACTGAAAGGCAGCTCAGATGGGCACTGATATGTGGCATTGATTGCACTGGTAGGCACTGATATGTGGCATTGATGTGGCACTGATGGGCACTGGCAGGTGGCATTGATGGGCCGATTACTGGCTCTCCTCTCCTCACATGCTGTCAGCATGACAGCTAGTGAGGAGAGGAATGCCAATAGCTGGCATTTCCTTATTTACATGCGATAAGCTGTGATTGGACACAGCAGATCACATGACAGAGCCGATTTCATCGGCTCTTTCCGCTGATCGGTGATCCTTTGTGTCTGAGGGACACAGAGCACCAACGATCGCCGCGCTATACACCCCTGGGGGTGCGTATGTGCGGTTAGGGTGGGAGGAAGTCATATGACATCCTCCCAGAATGGAAGAACCGCTGCGCTCCCGTCAATAACTCATATGGTGGGCGGGAGGCGGTTAAATTGTCTACTGCAGAAGGTGAAAAGCTCCTTTTTAGATTAGATGCAAAGGAGGATAGAGGAGCCCTTCAGTATCACAAGAAACACACATGTGCTAGCAAAACAGTGCAAATCCACACTGTGTGGGTCACTGTTAGTTCTCATTCACATTATTCTGCAGCCCAGAACGCTGCTTCCTGCCCAAAGTTTTGGGCTGCAGAGCCGCGTGGTGAGGGGCTGTGTTCTATCATCACACAATTCCCTTTTTTTCTACCAAACTTTATTAGAAGTGTACAATGTGACACGTCATTCATGTCACTGCACAGCAGCACAGTGCTCTGTGTTTGCTGCGTGGTGACATGTGGGGCCATGCATAGCGGTGCGATATTCTGCAAATATGTTTTAGCACTGCGTTCTGGTCTGAACATGGCGGACAGAAATGTATTGTTTTCTGTGTGCCATTGCAGTTACCTGAGTTTTTCCACAAGCAAAATGCAGGTACAGCAACTGCATATAGTTTAGTTGGGCCCTTAATCTGCAAGCATCCACCTCTAGGAAAGCAGATTCTGATAAACACTCACTTGCAAGGGTGAGTTTTCTCAGTACTAAATGTGGCAGATTGGCATAGAAATTTTAAAAAAGTTTTGTTGTCTTTTCTCAGGCAAAGGACAATAAAAGTAAAAGTTTGATGTTTTCTATTTTTTACTTTCTTACTATAAACACAAGCAAAGCAGATATTCACTCCTATTCGAGTATGTTTCACTTCAAAGAAAAAAAAAAAAAACAGTAGAAAACCAATCCAACAGACAATCACTGCAAAAATGAGAGCCATCACAAAAAAGCATATTATCTGACCCTCGCTGACATAGTGCAACACTATAGTAAAATATTTGTATTTGGAAAATGGAAGAAAAAAAAAACTCTGTTTCTCCCCAGATAAAACATTCAGCAATATAGCAGAAAATGATATATAAAAACATTTTAAGATCCATTCAAAATTGAGCGACTGTTGATGACACCCTTATGATAGCTTATTCATACTGTATAGCGTGCCACACTTAGACTTTATATACTCAGTTCTTGGCAACCTCTCAACTTTTCTACCTATTGATTACTTAATAGGCGTGAGGTTCGTTTAATTTCTCGGATTAAAATTTGGATACATTTTCCATTATTTGGAAATTCAGATGTATCCAAAATTCCGAATACAACATTAAATAATTTCAGACGAATCCGAATGAAACATTAACAAAATTTATTTATTTCATTTGAATCTGAATGAAACAAATGATTGGAATTCATGTAATAATAGCTGGTTGTTAACCACTTGCTAACCACACTATGGCTAAATGACGGCTTGTCGTGTTCACATGACTGTCATATGCCTTTAAGTGTTTCTATATTTTGTTTCTGCTCCTCCCTTTCCTTTGGTTTGGTTAATGCTGTATAGATAGCCCTCCCCCTTTCCAGTAATGCATTGCAGCTCTAGCCTCATGTCATGAAGCAGGAAACATTATGATCTTTTGACCTATCAACTGTTCATTGTTCTAAGATTCTCTCACTTTATGGAATAAACTTCACAAGATCTACAAGATGTCTTATCGATTGAGACTGTGGTATCCAACTGAGGTTGAAGTTATCGCTATCTCATCACAACTGTAAGTTACATAGATCACACTATCAGTACTTAGATTGGAGAGACAGAACACGGCTACAACGCGGTTGTCCAGTTCTGGGAGGGCATCATATGACATTCTCCCAGAACTCGCCCTCCCACGCGCCCCCAGCGGCGCATAACTGATGATCAGTGCCCTGCAGTGCTGCCCAGCAGTGACGATCGTGCGTCAGACCCCAGCCCTTCTCACCAAACTTGTGACCGAAGGACTAGCCAATCTCAAACCGTGATGTCACGTCTGTAACAATGGCACGCCCAGCTGCACCCTGCACAAAGATTTTCCAGCTAATGGACCATAAATCGATGTACCAGAAGCCTGGGAGCGATTGTTACTGGGTCAGGTTAATTATGCAATTAACCCTTCACACTGCCACCCCCTCCTTTTTGCACAGAGAAAGAGGAAACTCAGCAATAACACTAGGATGATTGGATAATCGTCTGTATACCACTATCACCGCAGACAGGTTTTACTGAGGGTTAAACACACATAGTAGCGCTCTTCAGAGGCAGGAATTCGTAAGTTGCATTAAAGAGCTTTAAAAACAGTTCAACACTTTCAAAAAGAAAGATTTATTACTAAAAGATCAAAAGGGTGCAATAAAAATAGTTACAGAAAAAAGATGTAACCAATATATATATATAAATACAGAGACCAATAACACAGCAAACAGATAACAGAAAGAAAGTTAGGTAGATAAGTACTTGCCAAAAAAGTTCTGGGTTAAGCAGATCAAGTTTCAGAGCAAAAGGGCACCGTCTCCCAAGTTGGTTCTGACGTTAAACAGGAGAATTCTTCAACTTGCACTCTTAGGCCTGACAGCCTATTTTGTAGTCCCCTAGCAGGGGGTGTCTCTGAAGCCAAGGACCAATGCCTCACTTGGGGAGGGGTTGTCTGGGCGGAGACCCAAACTAGAACCAAAATCTCTCATAGCTCATATTTTGGCTCATAACTTTTCCTAGGCACAACATTCCACCCGTGGGTAGATTAATCTGCAGACGCATCTGAGGAACGGTTAGATATGAAATATGAAATACATACTCGAATGGTTCAAGAGATGTAATTTTTCTGCTTTCCTATGTATTCCAGCCAGGGAGTGTGACCTATCAACCGATTTGTCTGATTGTGAGCAATCTGAAGATATGCCTGGTTTTATGTAAGTCTCTCATATTCCAAGATATGAGACATAGGGGAAAAATAGATTTTAAAAGTGTTACCTAGTTTCTTACTCCTCTGGAATGTCTATGAACTCAGTGGAAGGCTTGGGTTATCCTTTTATGAGGTGCCAGATTGCACAGCCTCCCAGCCAGCCTGGCACCCAGCTCAGAGATGTTTTATAGCTTGGAGCTCCCTGTGTCCTGGCCTGCCTGTGACACTTCCAACACACACACACAACCACATGTCACTGTGGCTTTCAGAGAGGGAGGGGGAGAATGAGGAAAGATATGTTTGTACAAGATGGATGATCCTTTGCCAAGATGGAGGTTGGGGCAAAATGGTTGAGCCGCGTCCATCTCTGTGGGTACGATTGCTACACCACCCACCAGTGCCCAGCAGTACCGCTCATCAGTGCCCATCAGTACCGCCCATCAGTGCTGCCTACCAGTGCCTATCAGTGCCGCCTATCAGTGACCATCATTGCTGCATATCAGTGCAGCATCATCAGTGCATCCTCATCAATGTCCACCAGTGCCACCTTATCAGTTGGGTACAGTGTTACTTGACCGGACACTGAAAGATTAAAATTGGCCTGTGCAGGAAGGGGGTAAAAGTGCCCCGGTAGGCAAGTGGTTAAGAAGCAGGGAGGTCTCCCAGCCACCGTGTCCTTAACAACCATGACTCATCTGCTGCTAGTGCAATTCCCGAAGGGTCTGGTATGGTTTGGGGGTACTCCCATGGTTTTCTTTTAATTTTTAAATTTTGGCACTGGTTTGTTTATATCCTGCTGACAGCAGAAGAGTCATGGTTGCTATGGATTTGGCAGCCGGGAGGCCGCTTCGTTCCTTAACCACTTGCCCTCCTGAGGATTTCCCCCTTCCTGACCAGACCATTTTTTGCGCTAAGGTGCTGCGTTACTTTAACTGACAATTGCGCAGTCATGCAACGCTGCACCCAAATGAAATTTACTTTCTTTTTTTCCCCACAAATTAAGATTTCTTTTGGTGGTATTTGATCGCCTCTGCATTTTTTATTGTTTGCACTATTAAAAAAAAGACAATTTTGAGAAAAAAAAAACTTTATTTTTTTTGCTATTAAACATGTCCAGTAAAAAAATATAAAAAATCTCATTTCGTCATAAATTTAGGCCAAAATGTATTCTGCTATATTTCTTTGCTAAAAAAAAAATCCCTATACGTGTAAATTAATTGGTTTCCGTGAAAGTTATAGTGTTTACAAATGGCAGTACAGATACTGGAAATTTTTTAATTTTTGTAATTTTACTAGTAATGGTGGCGATCAGCGGCTTATAGCGAGACTGCAGGACTGCGGCGGGCATTCTGACACTGGGGAGAACTGACTTGGTGTCACTGACATCCCCAGTGACACCAATACAGTGATCAGTGCTAAAAAAAAGCACTGACACTGTACTAATGCCACTGGATATTAAGGGGTTAACTTTGTGTTGTTTCACTGTAAGCTGTGTCCGTGTGCTTCACTGTAAGCACACTGCTGTGCAGAGCCATCCAAAGCAGTGTGCACGAGCTGACAGGGAGGAGAACTGTTTTGTTTACAAACAGTTCTTCTCCCCATCAGAGATGCTTGGCAATCATCGGACACCAGCAAGTAATCATCGCAATGCAAAGTGGGGGAAAACAGGTGGAAAACCTATGCCTAGACCCATGCTTGACATGCCAGAGCAGGCCTTGTCCCATTGCAACCTTTCTTCATCACTGATGCTCTTTTTTCTCGGAGCCATTAAAGAGGGTGTATTCATGATTACTAGAAGTATGTTAGGAAGGAGTATTTGAATAGTAGAGACAAGCTCAGAAGGAGTGATTAAGATCAGATAGCTCTAAAGGTGTCCATTGACTTGGCAATTTGGAGTTTCCAT